CCCCCCCAGACACTGTAAATGGAATGACCTTTTCCATCAGATCTAGACTACCAGATTTGTTGAGAGGCCATTAACTCCCAAGAGGTAATTTGGGTTTAGTATTACCATTTTCTGGATTTTAGCTCTATTATCAAGGAGACTTTCCCCTGAAATTGGGTTTCATCCAAGCTCTTGGCTCTTCAGTGTGTTTTCCTTAAATAATTTTGTCAAACAAATCACCACCTCCGGTCTTCAGCAGAATGTAAGAATACCACCACTTACTACACTAAGAAATACATGTGAAATTATTGTGTACTTACATGCATCATTGTTTTTATTAAGCACTCAGTATGTGTTCAGTGCAGTATAAACATTAAACAAGATTATTCTTCCCCTGCTGAATTTATAGCCAGAAAGAGCTTCATAGGAAGGAGCAGTAATAACATACCATTAAAACAGCACCTTTAATTTAATCCCTTTTTGTCTCCCTGTGGTTAATACTCATTTGCTGTTGATCATGACCGGTGTATCCTGGCATGTCACGCAGGGCTGTTTTATGACATTACAGCCCCCAGTTGCCCACTCTCCCCCCTCTGTAGGAGGTTCTTGTTGAGCATGAGTGGAAGAAGAGAGCATATGTCTGTGTTTCAGCTGCTGCCGTGCAAAGCCCAGCAGCATAGCTGAAACCCACCTTTGATGGCACTCTGCACTGAGACCTTGGTGGTTTTATCAAAGCACAGTTTCCTTTTGCCACCTCGGCCTCCTGTAAGGACAGCTGGAAATACTAACGTCTTCAACAGCTGCAGCAAGATTCTCTGAAGCTCGTGTGTTAAAGCCGTGAGAGATGAGACATTGCAAGATGCAAATGCAAACAGGGGCATCCAATTTTCACTGATGTCTGTTGGATTTAGGTGCCTAATTTACTTTTATATCTTTATAGTAGCATCATTTTAGGGGAGAATTCTGTAGCCAATGGGATTTTTTTAAGAGATCGGAACTTTCCTGGGCAGAGCACATCAGACGGCTTGGACCGTAAAAGGAACTGATACTCCCCAAGGGAAGCAGGACTCTTGAACTGAAGGAGTCGACAGGTTTGAAAGTTTTTAAGTTTATCTGCTTATTTAAAGAGTCACAACATAGTCGTCTGCCCTGAAACAATTTCTGTTCCAGTTTCTGCTCTGGATTGCACATATTACTTGTCAGAGAAATTTTTTCAGAGACAAATTTTTAGAAGTAGCCACTGAAAGCATGCCGCTTTCTGAAAATAGAGTTTTGCTGAGAGAGCTAGAACCATTGCCTGAGAACAAACTCTAAAGGAAGATTCTGTCTCCTGAAACTTTCAAATCAAAATGTGATCCTGTTTTGGAAGTTATAGTCAAATTCAGGGTTCCAAATTTAGTACTGAGGTTACTGATTAAAATTCTTGGAGCTGTGCTGTAGAGGAGGTTAGCATAAATTAATCTAATTATTGGCTCTTTCTGGCCTTAGCATCTGTGGTCTGTGGCTGTACGGAGTGCAACAGTAGGATTGTGCTGGCAAGGACTAGACAAGTATGTTGGGTACATACAGAATGTGTATTGATTGCTGCAGCAAGGAGGAAGTATGGTGGCTTTATTATTGTCTTTATCGTGGTAAATTGATTTACTGGAGGAGAGGGAGAAGTTAATTCTCCCTATCGATCGTCCTATATTCCAAGGCTCCAAAATTAATGAGTATCACTTTCTCTGTAACAGTGTTTTGTTAATGGAAAAGAGAGAAGGTTTCTTTGATTATTGTGCTCTGCTTCTTCTCATGTGTTTTGCTTTTCTTTTTAAAATGCTACAGAGATGAGAGACCCATTTATGCACACTTTAATTCCTGATTTTGTGTTATAAATAGGTTAGGATTTGACTATGGCGGTGCAGTTCCTGTGGAAGGCATCTGTGTGGCTAAAGAAGCGCAAGATCACTTTGTTGGCCGTTTCTTGCATGGGACTGTTTGGCGCTAACCTTTCCTATCACATGTTTCCTGAGCGGACATTCAAACTGTTGCATGAGTGCTGGTCAGAGGGGCAGCCAGCTGAGCTGTCGCAGAAGCTCTGTGGTGTCTTTCAGGATGTCCTTCAAGATACTGGTGTGAAGTCCACTGACTCCTATCGAGCCTTTGCAGCTTCTGGCTTCCACCCTGTGAGTGCTGGAATCCCCTGGCTGCCTGCGGGCTCGTTGGTGGGCATCCCGCCTAATTTTGATAGCACAGCTGAGGATAAAAAAGGAATAGTCAACCATGTTGTTGTGATCAATGGCAAGGAAGTAGACTGGGAGAGCAATGAAGGTGTTGCTTTGAAAGAAGCTCTGACATTTTCACTTGAAGCTCAGAAGTTTGCCATTGCCAGAGAAATCATGTATTTGCACAATGGCAGCCCTTTAGCAAGTGCAGTTGTGGCTCCAACTTGCTTAGCTGGTACCTTTCTCTGTGCGAGAGGTATAAAGCTACTTCTGGGTTTATCTCCTGGCCCCGTGATACTTCGCGGCATCTGTAACCTCATAACTGCCGCTGGTGGACTAATGTGCTATTACGTTTCTTACGATGCTATGACCTATCATCTAGACTGCAAGGCTGACAGGAAGGCAGCTACCATTTCCAAAGACTATGCCAGAGGTGGGGTTGAATTCTACGATAAAATCTTGTCCCGCAACAGGATTCTTCGTGGTCTGATGGGCAAACAGGGTATGAAAATGTATGCTCCGAGTGGTAACCTTTTCCCAAGGCACTGGTTCAGAATAAAGTATACACCGTACACTTACCGAAGAGATTTGATTGTTAATATTTTAAGAGAGCTCCAGGCATAGGAAGGGAGTGCTTGAATTTTAAACTTGTGAATTATGTATTCTCTTGGAACACTGCTGTGCTGCTTTTTTTTTGTATTCTCTGTATCTTCATTAGAATTTCGGGGTTTATTTTTGCATATAGTTCGAAAGGAGTTATTGCACATTCTGTGAATAAAGAATTCTCTCTTAAAATATTAAAGACTTGCTTCAAAAGTGCTCTGTTCTGTGTGCATCTCAAATCACAAGACCGCTGAGGAAGGGAACTTCTCAGGCGCTGATCTGGAAGTTCTGCTGCTCTGCCCTGCCTTCCTGCCAGTGCAGTCTGGAAAATGGAAACAGTAAATTCCAACAGAGAGGTTTGGGAACATTCTAATTTAAACTGGGCTGTTTGTATGTATGTTTGCCGTTCCTCCTATGGAACTCAAAGATGTTTAGAAGACTGGGCAGCTGTATCATGCTATTACATAAATGCCAAGACGGTGTTTCTGGTTTTTTTTTTTTAAGTTCTTGTACTGTGTAAATTCTTCTGCTGCAATCCCCATTCTTCAGTAGGGCACACTAGTTATGCTGCAGTTCATACTAATACAGGTAGATTATTATCAGCACCTGAGTCATTTAGTTTAAACCTAGTTCTGCTGTCTACATGACATGGTGACTGCAGCATTTGTATCTTGAATGTTTCCCAGCAGTGGTGGTATGTAACGTGACGGTCATGGGTTGGTTGTTTCCTCACAAGTGGGACAAGCATGTTGAGGGGTGGATTTTCTATTCGCTTTGGTATAACTCTTGTTTAATTTAAAAATACATGTTGATGTATGTCACCTTTTATGTCAAAGAAGGCAAGGTCTAAGAAATAAGTCTGGCTTTTGGTGCAGAAACTGGTGAGGTCTGTGATCAGGAGCTGCCAAAGGAAATCGTTCTCCTGTTTCAGAATAGCTGAAGAACGTTTTGTCTCGCAGAACCAAGCTTTGCCCAGGATTACTCATCTTCTGGAAGAAAGGTCTTTACTGCATGGGCAGTAAACTTTCCGCTATAGCCTCACACTGGATCTTTTATGTGATCTCCAAGATGACAGATCTCAAACTTTGTAGTTCCCTTTCTTTGGTGTTTCTATTGCAGACATTCTGGTAGCCCTCCCTGGTGGCATCACAGCAGTCCTCCTCCTCATCTCTGTTGTCATTCTTATGGGAAACTTCTATTATTTTGTATCTTCTCAGTCAGATCTGCTGAGTGTCCTCTCTGCCCTGGTTTTGTCCCTTTTTCATCTGCCACAATAATAACTGTCATGCCTGTGTTTGCTCAAAGCATTACCGAGTTCTGTTTTCCCTTTGAGTCACGTGGTGACATAAAGTTCATATACTGGCTGCTGAGGCACAGTGTTGCTTTACGTTGCTGAAGCCATATATATAAGATGTTTGGGTTTCTGCTGAAGTGATCTGCCACACGGATGTTTTTTTGGACCACGACCTATCACTTGCAGTTGTCCTTGAAGTATCAAGTCATGAGATGCCTCTTAGAGCATAAGCTTATTGTTCTTGGGACCTTTGTGAAAGAGTTTGACAAAATCTCCTAGTCTGTGGAGTAAAAGGAGACTTTACTTTTCGGCAAGGGGCTTTCAAAGCTTCAGACTAAATCTTACTTGACTTCTCTTCCAGGTGAGTTCAATATAACAGGTCAAGATAGAGGTTTTTTGGTTGAGTGATATAATGGCTCGAGACTGGAATATAACTCCTGTTTTATGTAGCCTGTGAGTTCAATTCATCCTCGCGTTACTCCTTCAGACAAGTCTGAACTCCATGAAATGTTCTCAGAGAGAACTTGGCCCACTTGTTTTATGTGGTTTAAGGAGCTGCTACTGCATAAAGAGTGCAGAGAGGAAACAGAGGCCTTCTTTGAGATTTACAACAAGTAGCAGTTTAAAGAAATCTGCTTGCCTCTTATCACTCCTTACTGCTGCTTTTCATTGAGGTCTCTGCAGCTAGTGCTGTTCTTTAACGTTCTCAGGTTGTAAAGCCCCGCAGATGCTAATAGGTTTTGCAGTTGTGCACTTTGCTTTGCTCTTACAGCTGGATTCTCCAAGAAGCTCCACGTATCCGTAAATACTGTGTCTGATTTACCCTTCTTTGAACTTGCCATGGCATAATTGTGTCAGTAAGGGAGAGCTGGCTAGTTTTAAGACATCTGCCCTTGCCTTCTGAAGAGAGATTCTTGCCAAGGGCTTAGAATACCTTCTTGTCTGTATAGTCAAGATCCTATTCTGTTGCCATCTATGTAATATGGAAGCATAGTACTGTCAATATAAGGAAAATGGGCATTGAAATCAAAACTGCTAATTAAGATTTCCCTGAACCTTAGGAATATGTGGGTTGTCCTGGAAAAGGTTTGTACCGTGTGTGTGTGTTGCCAGGTAATTGTTGCTTGCAAGATCACCCATGGTATTTGGCAAGTAAGAATAGCACAACTCAAATATATGGCCATGAAAATACTCATGCAATGTCTTACAGTATTGTAAATATTTTTCTGTAGGTGGAACTTCAGAGGAAATCAAATAGAAGTTCCACATACTGGTGATAGAAATGAGTGTAGTTTTAAGAGTACGATAGAAACAATATCTTCAGAAGCAGAGGTGAAATTGTTGGTTGATCATGCTCTTCCATGCTAAGAACAGTCAGATGTGGAAAAGCAGGTTTATTCAGTGGCCCAGAAGAGCCCAAGTGAATCAGTTTGTCAATAGCGGCAGTGGACAGCCTTATAGTCTCCCCCAGGTTGAAGCTGAAACTCTGAGGAGTTCAGAAGACATGTTTTAGTAATAACTGGCTGCTCTTGCACTGCTCAGATGAGGCAGACTTTGTACAATTTTTATGCAGAAAAGCAACAAAATGTTAAGCAAAAGGAATTGCTAGGAGACGTGGATATAAGAAGTCTAAGCCAAGAAACTAAAAGCGAAGGTGTGAATGAAATAATGAACTCTCATAAAAATGGATATTGTCTACAAAAGTGAGGCTCTCTTTCTGTCTGGTAAAGTGATTAAAGGATGAAGTATGAGTAGCAAATGACCAAAATGAGTTGCTAGTTTAAGTTTATACACAATCTAGTGTAAAGAGAGATTTCCTTGACTCATTTATTTAGGTTATTATCCTGAATTTTCTAGATAACTGAAAAGAAAATTATCCTTGTAACTTATTTTTTGTATAAATTTAATGCTTGCTGCCACATGAAGCTTTTGTGGGTAATACTGCAAGAGATGAGGGCCATCCCGGTGCTCTGCTCAGAATTCCCACTGGTGTGGAAGAAATGCAGGGTCTGGCTCATGTTGTTTCCCTATCCCCAAAATTGTGGTTTCCTGTCACGGAGGTGCCTTCAGCTTGTTTAATGGTCAAAACTGTAAAACTGCTCAGAAATAGAGCAAGACTGAGAGCTAGACAGTTTCTTGAAGACAAACAAACTGTAGACATCATCCAATTTAAAGTAATTTCTGAATCAGCTGCTATGGGTGTCTGGCTCCTCTTGCAGCTTACAGGAAGAAGGAGCTTCAGAGGTGGCTTCCAAGAGAGAGACCTCCGCCCAGGTAGCATGTGAGTAAAGAATGCCCCCCATGGTATTGCCACAGGGGCTTCAGCTGAAGTGTAGCCATCCTATAGAAAACAGAACTTTTTGTTACAGCAGAGCGCTGTTATCACCCCTTTTCAGATTAAAGTCATTTCCAGAACCTGACAGATAGATGGTGAGAGAGCTGACTGCGAAGGTGTGGAGCTTATTGCCCTACAGTGTAAGCTGGTGGTGTTGGGAGAGGTGAGGCTGGAACCCCAGCCTACTGCTGTTGTTTTGCCCTTGGCCATAGCAGTTGTGAAACAACCACTGTGACAAAGTGTGGCTTGGGTGGGAGTGAATTAAAATGTATGAAGCAAGTCATCATGACTGAATCACAGGCAGCTTTCATTAAAGGAACAAATGCAGAGAATCCATCCCAGAGCGAGTGCTGCTGTATGCAGCCGTCGTGGGCATCATTAAAACAGCTGCAGGCATCTTTGCTATGTGGAAATGCAATTCCTAGCAAGCCACAGACACCAAGACAAGTATGTGGGCCATATCCTGCAACTGTTAACCGCTCATGTTCATTAAAAGCTTCATGTAGCAGATGTGATTACATTAATATAAAAATGATTAAGTTGCAGACAACCTGCCATCCATGCATGCACCAGTTCCTCCTTGATTTCATTCATCTCGGCTGGAAGTGTGTATAACTGAAAGGCAGAACGCACTGGTAAGTAGAGGAATGCTGATGTAGGAAGACATAATTAAGATCTCAGAATAAGGAGAACACTTGTCAGGAAGGGAGAGAAGCTGAATTTGGTTGTTATCAAAACTAGACTTAAGAACAGAAAAACAATATAATTATTCTCTAGGAATTGCTATGTAGACAAATTAAATCTGAAGGAGCTGAAAAATGGCTTATGTATGTTTTTCTGGGCTTCTTTTTCACTGAGAATACATCAGTTTGTTTAGCTGAAGTGAGTATATTCAAGCTGCTCAGTCTGCCAAACCTGTAAAGTGGGGAAAATGACTAAAATTTGGCTAGAAATCGGTCTTTCCCATCTGGAAAAAAAGGATTTTTCTGGACAAGCTAAACTCTTAAGCTTCATAGCCAGAAATGAAGGCTGAAATGTCTCTGCATTTGGGAGCTCTCACTCTCCTCAGTCAGACCAGGTTTGCCATGAGGTATGCTGGTCTTCAATCTCGGGAGAAAGAGTGCTCTGAAAAACTCCGTTTGTGTCCAAAAATGCTCTTTAGAAAACAACAGCCAGCCCGGGTGTACCTTTACCTCCCCCTACCTTAGTCTTTCTGTACTCCTTACTAGAGGAACTGTTTATGGTACTATGTGCTTGTGCAGTACGTACTATAATGCGACCTTGGCCTATGAGTTTCCTATGTATATTAATTAGTAATTAAGCATATTGGGCCCAAGTTTTGCAAAAAGAATTGTCCCCCAGATCCTGCTTCCTAAAGGACTGGTTTTTTTATGGCTGAACTTCCATCATCTGGAAGTTGGGCCCTTTTCCAGTCCGGATCTGGTTACTTGGAGTCACTAGCTGCTTTGGTCTGCAGGAGCATTAAT